TGGCTATCATATCTAGCTCACTTTATCTAAAGTTCCACAATCCAGTGACATTATAATTTTATCATTGTGTAGATTTATATTAAAGCATCACTGTAATTTTTTTGCTGGTTTCTGTCTTCAATTTTTGGTCATTTACCTATGCAAAATAATCAGTTTTAATGTGCGAGGTTACATATGAAACTTTCAGTTCTTTATAGTCTTGTTATATTTAGCTTAGTTGGTATTATTTTCTTTGTGCTGAGCTAGGAGTTTTGAAACTGAGGGATACAGAAATTGCAGTCACATGGGGTACTGACTATAGTCTGATAACAGATCCTAGACAAGAGTTTGCTAGCCTTGGCAGTAAAGCAATGGGACATGCCACATTTCTTTTTCCTGTCTGCAGCAGCTTCCTCCATATTAAATAAGGAGCACTGATTATGAGCTGTGTCAATGTAAGATTTCCTCTTTCCATACTTGGCCCTCAGTCAGACTTTTTTCTCTCCCACCTTAAAACTTTTCTACACCTAGGTCAGAAACCACATGCTGTCCCTTTATTAACCTTTCATTTAATCAGCCCTTCTCACTAGGCTCATAAACACAACCCTCACAATAAAATTTTATGTACAAGAAATGTGCTTCTATTTAACAGTCAGTTTAACCTCTCTTGTCTTTCATTTTTCTTTCCCTCTTCAAACAATACTCACATGGGGAAAGAGACTCATTCACACTTTTTATCATGTGCTCCTTTCATTTCCGATCATGCTGTTCAACTGACTGAAGTCCTCCCAAGGAGGATCTCTGACTGTTGTTTTATCTGAATCCTCCAAACCACCCAACTACTTCCTAGTCTCCCCACTAAAACCCCATCCCACAGCTGTAGATTCACTGCTCCCTTTTGCTGTGGCTTGTTCCACATTGTTTGCATTCCCACAGAAAAAGGATTTGGAAGAGCTGCCACCAGGATCCTTCAGCTCTCCATGCAAATGAAACCATCACAGTACTGCCAGTGCAGAAGTGAGGATAAGACACTGTCAAATTCTCATCTTCCATTGCAAAAAATCCCTGTCCTCCATCCTCTGCTGGGGTGCAGAAGTGGGCTTCTAGCTCCACCACCCTACTGCAGCATGCCATCAGCAATTTTTCTCTTCTTGGTGTTATCCTCTCTCTTGTCTTTGTGGAGAGCAGGATGCAAATGAAGATTGTCACCTATCATTTAAATTATGCCTTTCAATCCATTTCTTTAGACTCTTGGTCCATGAGGTCATCCACAAAGTCTAGTTCCTTCTACGGCAAACACATGCCCAAAGAACTGTGGTATTTTTTGGTGAATTCTTGCAACTAAGAATTTTGAAAAAGTTATCCTTAACATTTGGTTATAGTGCTGCTCATATGAAAGCAAGCTAACATGATGTTAGAGTAGGCAGCCTCTTGATAGTGCAGCCACTGTATCATTAGGGGAAGAAGGCTGCAGAAGCATTCTTGGGAAGTCTTGCAGACTGCTTATCCTCTCCTCGTTGCTCTTCTCCGGGCATCCATCATGGCTCACCATTGCAGATATGGATTTTATTTTTAGTATGGCCTTATCCAGTGGTTTTATTTCATCATTATAGAATCATCATAGGATCATCATAGGATCATTATAGAGTCATTATAGAACACTCTGGGTTGGAAGGGACCTTCAAGATCATCTCGTTGCACCAATCACTGTCATGGGCAAGGACACCTTCCACTAGAACAGGTTGCTCAAAGTCCCACCCAACGTGGCCTTGAACATGTCCAGCTATGGTGCGTCCACAACTTCTCTGGGTATTTTTCTTTCATTTCCCAATGAAAGCAGGGCTTTGGAGTGGGTTAAAAAAAAAAAAAAAGAAAGAAAGAAAAAGAAAAGATGGAGACACAGCTTTCCTGATGATCCAAGAGAAAAATCAAAACCATTTTCTCTGTTTCAGAACTTTTTTGCAACAGTTATCTAGAAAAACACCGGGGGGGGGGGGGGGGGGGAACTGTTTTCCCTTTTCCTGATGTATTTTATTGTGAACACAGGCAGAGCTTTAACACTGATTTTCTCTTGTTTCATAGATGTCAGATGCAAATTGCCAAACCTCAGCATTCTCTGTCACATTCAGTGTTAGAGTTAACAACATCCCACAGGAACCCTAAATCCTTGCAAAAAAATGTCAGTTTTATCAGGAATAATCTTCTAATTACAAAAGAGGAAAAAAAGCACATACTATTCAATGCTATTGTAATAATCTAAGCTATACTTCCTGTTGCTTCCTTCGGGTCAGAACTGTATAATTGCACTAACAAGTGCATCTGAGCAGGAAGAGATCCTGTAAAGCTTTATTTATATAAATAAATATATATAGATATAAACTTTGTAGTAATATATGCAAATAATATCAAAAGATAAGGCTTTCAGAACAGAATATAATTCAAGAAAGAAAAATAAAATTAAGCATTTTTTTTATAACAGCAAAAAGAAATCTGGAAACAATGAGTTAATGATAAATGTTTCTTTTTTTTATTTTAGAAAAAAAAATGTCCAGGCCATTTAAAACTTATTTAACGCATTGCATGAAAGATAATTTTCTCAGCCATCTTAAAATATTTCATCATTGGAAAGAAAAAATTGATACACAGGAATAAATTCTATTCCGTCCATGTAACAAGCTGCTCATTCTCCATGAAATAAAATGAATGCCATGGCCCTTTTAAATGGCACAGGGGAGCTATTTAGTGTGAAAAGAGATGTAGAAATAACTCTGTAATTCAGATAACGCCTTTGGCAATAAATACCTCACTGCATATGAGACCTCAGCATCCATTTCTGTCTGAAAATTCTCTCTCTCATGTTTAGAGATACTCTGTTTCTGTGTTTCTTCTCTTTAAAGCAGCTTTATACTTCTCTGACAGTAGCATTAAGCATCTTCTGTAATTTGAGGTCACAATCATTAAGTCAATGACTCCGTATCTTCAGGAACAAGTAAGTGCAGGAACACCTGCTCTCAGCTATGTCATCTTAAGGGTTTTAAGAACTGAACAAATAATTTTATATTGTTTTAAATTATTTTAAATACTGTGGAGAAAAAAGTTATGACCATGGTCATACAATGCTTGTGTATGTGCTTAACTTCAAATGCACAAGTAATCTCACTACCTGTAGCTTGAGAAGTCACACGATAGGATTAGTCCCCACACTACTTATCAGTTTATACTGCCAAGTGACTCTTCTCCAAAATTTGATGTTGAGTGACACTGCTCTCCCCTACCCTCACTGCCTGAAGCTGGTACCCAGGCAGACTCTATTCTGTGATGTACCAGCTCCTGGCAACAGTATTAAGTGTGAAAAGGTTAGTACATACTCGAGATCTCTTCCTACAGAAATGCAGATTCACCAGTAGACTCCAGGGAGGCCCTTAGAATGTTACAAATTGGTTTAGGAACACAATTTGCACCTCAGTACAGCTCTAAATATCATAGAATCATAGAATCATTGAATGGTTTGGGTTGGAAGGGGCATTAAAGATCATCTAGTTCCAACTCCTGTACCATGGGCAGGGACACCTTCCACTAGACCAGGTTTCTCAATGTTCTATCCAACCTGGCCTTCAACACTTCCAGGGATGGGGCAGCCACAGCTTCTCTGAGCAATCTGTGCCAATGCCTCACCACCCTCATAGTGAATATTTTTTTCCCAATATCTAATCTAAGCCTACCTTCTGTCAGCTTAAAGTCATTTCCTTTTATCCTATCACTAAATGCCCTTGTAAAAAGTCCCTCTCCAGGTTTCTAGGAGGCCTCCTTTAGGTAGTGGAAGACTGCTTTAATGTCTGCCCAGAGCCTTCTCCTCCAGGCTGAACAAGCCCATTGAAATACGATACAATATTACATGCTCATTACATATGTTTTCACTCATTGCTGACTTCCTATTAGATTGCCACAATGACCAAGAATTAAAGGAAAATAATATGTTTAACCCAAAGCAAAATGTTTGGTTTATGCCATTGTTCACAGCATTCAACACTTGAGTATGTTGCAATTCTCATGCAAAGATGGAAGCATTATTCTAGGCCATGTTTGTGTATGAATGTTTGCTCTTCCTACAGATTTTCTCACTGTTTATCTAGAAACCTAAAAAGAGGCAGATCTAAAAATGAATTTTTATTAGTCCAAGACTATTTATCTATATGAGAGACTTGAAATAGAAGCCTATCTGTGAAAAATCAATTCTAACAAACTTTATGCAAATTTTATATTTTATTTAACTTAGTCCTATTAGCCGTATAAAAAGAAGAAACACAGCAAGAGATTTCCTTTTATTTTGTGCTGCTACACGGTGAAATCTTAAGAGGGAGGGCACTATGTTAAATTTCAAACATCCCTTTGGTGAGTGGCTTTATATGCTGATGTGTGCCACCTTTACTCAACCTATGACTTCTTAGAACACCATAATATATGACTTTAAGTATTTCTTCTTAAAGCAATAACTGTAAAGAGGGCAAATTTACAGCCACCTTCTTTTGCTATTGGTGCATTATCTGCTGCTTTCTGTATTGCCCCTGTTAATTATGAGCTGATACATTAGAGTGTAAAGTCAGTAGGAATCTTTCTATTGATGTCAGAAATTGACTAGGAACATTTCTAACTTTTCTTGTTTCTCCAGGAAACACACATAAATTTGAAAAAAGTGAAGGTTTGCATTCTGTTGAAAATTTGTCCTGTATAGGACAATGTGTGACTTGTATACCTTGTCATATCAAGTTCCTCTGCCCTTCTATCCAGTGTGTATACTCTCTGCAGATTTGATTAGAGGAAGTTATTCATGGTTTGCTCTCAGAAAAGGCCATTTAACTGCAAGGACATTGATTTGTTTGGCTTCTTTAACATAATGCTTTCACTGTTATTAATGCAATGCAATTTTTCATATGCTTTCCCTGCTAGGCCTCTATTTTTAGTGTTTGGACCTTTGTAACAATTAACTACATCTGCCTTTTGATTTCCTATATCTGTCACAGAGCTAGAAATATGAAGAAGACATGCTTCATGAACCCATGGTCTCTTACCAGGGCACAGACTTTGCTTCCACTTTAATCCAGGTTTGTCATAACATTTTGTAACACCACCACCATTTTCTCCAACTTTCCCTTTTCTTTATTTCTGTGGTAACAACATTGTGACCAAAGTACAATCCCAGAGACTCCTCTTGTACAATGTCAGTACCACATAAAAGGGACAAACAAAAAAGAGTTGACTAACCTAACCAATTTCAAACTGGTTGAAATTGGTTAGTCAGCAAAAATTCTTTGCTCTTTCCCCTTTCCAAATTAACAAAAACTATTAATGGTGTGTTTATATTAAAAACATTTTGAGTAATACTTTCTCTGTTCTGAAGAAAAAAGAAATATTTTTTAAGATGAAACAGTTCAACAGGATCCATACAAGAAAAAAAAGTTTCTATAGTTTCAGACAGTATAGAATACTTACATAATGTGGTCACTGACCATATGAAACACAGTTGTCTTCTGGATCTAGACACAGGCTATCAACACCAAATGCTTCTTTAAATCATTAGGATCCTGCTTAGAATGTGCTCTGTCTTGAAGAATAATCACAAATTAAACATTGTGATAACCTTTCTATGTTTTATCACTTTTTAGAGTAAATGCCTTACTTGATATAAAATGGAAATTTGTATTTCTTATCGTATTCATTGTATCTCGTAACTGATGGCATGTTTAACACAAAAAAAAAACCACCAGTTATCCATTGATTCTATGCTTTCTTTCACTAGAAAATCATAGAATCATAGAATCGTTAGGGTTGGAAAGGACCTTAAGATCATCTAGTTCCAATCCCCATGCCATAGGCAGGGACATATCACACTAAACCATGTCGCCCAAGGCTTCATCCAACCTCGCCTTGAACACTGCCACAGATGGAGCATTCACAGCCTCCCTGGACAATCCATTCCAGTGCCTCACCACCCTCACAGTAAAGAATTTCTTCCTTATACCCAGTCTAAACTTCCCCTGTTTAAGTTTGAACCTGTTACCCATTGTCTTGTCACTACAGTCCCTAATGAAGAAAGAGTCCCTCCCCAGCATCCCTATAGACCCCCTTCAGATGCTGGAAGGCTGCTATGAGGTCTCCAAGCAGCCTTCTCTTCTCCAGGCTGAACAGCCCCAACTTTCTCAGCCTGTCTTCATATGGGAGGTGCTCCAGTCCCCTGATCATCCTCGTGGCCCTCCTCTGGACTTGTTCCAACAGCTCTATGTCCTTTTTATGTTGAGGACACCAGAACTGCACACAATACTCCAAGTGAGGTCTCACGAGAGCAGAATAGAGGGGCAGGATCACCTCCTTCGACCTGCTGGTCACGCTCCTCTTGATGCAGCCCAGGATACAGTTGGCTTCCTGGGCTGTTAATGTACACTGCGTTCATTTTCTCATCAACCAACACCCCCAGGTCCTTCTCCGCAGGGCTGCTCTGAATCTCTTCTCTGCCCAACCTGTAGCTGTGCCTGGAATTGCTCCGACCCAGGTGTAGGACCTTGCATTTGACATGGTTAAACTTCATGAGGTTAGCATCAGCCCACCTCACAAGTGTGTCAAGGTTCGTCTGAATGGCATTCCTTCCCTCCAGAGTACCAACTGAGACACACAGCTTGGTGTCACTGTCACACACTCAATCCCACAGTCCGTGTCACTGAAAAAGATGTTGAACAAGACCAGTCCCAACACTGATCACTGAGGGACGCCACTCGTTACTGATCTCCAATTGGACACTGAGCCATTGACCTCAACTCTTTGCATGCAGCCATCCAACTAGTTCTTTATCCACCGAGTGGTCCATCCATCAAATTGATGTCGCTCCAATTTAGAGACAAGGATGTCATGTGGGACAGTGTCGAAAGCTTTGCACAAATCCAGGGAGATGACATCAACTGCTCTACCCCTGTCCATCAGTTCTGTAGCCCCATTATAGAAGGCCACCAAATTGGTCAGGCAGGATTTCCCCTTAGTGAAGCCATGCTGGCTGTCACCAAGCACCTTGTTGTTTTTCATGTGCCTTAGCATGCCTTCCAGGAGAATCTGCTCCAAGATTTTGTCAGGCACAGGGGTGAGACTGACTGGTCTGTAATTCCCCAGGTCATCCATTTTCCCTTTCTTGAAAATGGGGGTTATATTTCCCTTTTTCCAGTTGTCAGGAACTTTACGTGACTGCCATGCTTTTGCAAATATGATGTCCAGTGGCTTAGCGACTTCATTCACCAGCTCCTTCAGGACCCAAGGATGGATTTCATCAGGTCCTTGACCACATTCAGGTTCTTAAGATGGTCTTGAACCAGATCCTCTTCTACAGTGGGCCTAGGGTCTTCATTCTTACAGTCCCTGCATCTGCCTTCCAAGACTTGGGTGGTGCAGTCAGAGCCTTTGCCAGTGAAGACTGAGGCAAAGAAGTCATTAAGTACCTCAGCCTTCTCCAAATCCTGTGTAACCAGTTCTCCCAAGAGCTTCCTGAGGGGGCCCACATTGTCCCTAGTCTGTCCTTATTCATTATGTACCTATAGAATCCTTCCTGTTATCCTTAACATCCCTAGCCAAATTTGATTCTAACTGGGGCTTAGCTTTCCTAGCCTGGTCCCTAGCTTCCCAAACAAAATCCCTGTATTCTTTCTAGGCAGCCTGTCGTTGCTTCCACGTTTTATAAGCCTCTTTTGTCTTTCGAATTTTCCTCAGGAGCTCCTTATACACCCAAGGAGGTCTCTTGGCCCTCCTGCTGCCCTTCCTTCCAGTTGGGATTCAACACTCCTGAGCTTGTAGGAGGTGATCCTTGAATATCAACCAAGAGTCCTGCCCTCTAGGGCTGTATCCCATGGAACCTTACTAAGCAGGTTCCTGAAGAGACCAAAGTCTGCTCTGTTGAACTCCGGGGCAGTGAGCTTGCTGCATGCTCTCCTCGCTGTCCTGAGGATCTCCAATTCAAAATCCATTTAAATGTATGTACGTTAACATGAGTCAGTATGTTTACCTCGCAAGGTATCTTCATTGTACCTATCATGTTTTTCCTATTTTGCCTAATTTTACCTAATTTTTCCTCTAAATTTTCTTTTAAACCTCAGTCAATGCTAACTAGCAATGCAACAAAGCGAAAATTCTTCACCAATTTAAACCCCTCTTAACATGACTGATTTTGAGATAGGTAGACTAATGATGACCTAAACAATGGCGCACAGAGGTTATGGAAGTACAAAATTGTTGCCAAGTACTGGCTTCTCTTAACCACTAAATTATTATCAAGTACATATTGCAGCACATGCTAGTACTGTCTGTTATGAAGAATATAAAGATTAACCTCCCTTCAGTCTAGTGTACATCATTCATACCAACTTTTTCATTGTATGGCCTATCTAGCCCTGGGAACTATATCAATTCCCTTGCAAACGCTAAAGAAAAAAAATGCTGGTATTATGTAAAATCTCTGAGAAATCACTGCCAATTATCTTAAAAAAAAAACTTTATTCTTTGATGAATTATAGAATGTAGATTATTTAATGTTGGGTTAGCTCAAATGTCTGGCTTAATTATCAATAGTCACATAATTTAGGATTTAACTTTCTTTAAGCTCTTTTTTTTTTCTACATCACAAGTACATATCCAGCAATCTATGTCTTAATTAGTTGTCTTTATATACATATGTAATCTCACAGTTTTTAACACAATAGTATATCAGATTTCAAGAATGACCTCTCAAATTCCTTAATTTATTCCTTAATTAACAAACAGGGTTTAAGCAGAAAGAACTTGATACATTTGTGCTTTCCTTTTACTCAACTTTAACTCCCATAGGTTTCAAGGATCTTCAGTTTAAAGGCGCTTTCAGCTGGAAAATGCAGAAAAAAACATGTATTGGTGTAAGCGGCGAGGAGAAGCAGGCAGGACAACCCAATATGGGTGATAAGCAAACTTCTACTTTATTTGTGACGCAGTTCACATATATAGGAGTGTATATATATATACACACTATATATATATATAGGAGTATATATGTATATATATATAGTATATATATAGGAGTATATATTCTTCATAACAGACAGTACTAGCATGTGCTGCAATATGTACTTGATAATAATTTAGTGGTTAAGAGAAGCCAGTACTTGGCAACATATATAGGAGTATTCAGCCACTCCTCCTTGGCACAACAGTATTGGTTAGCCCCACACAGCTTCCTCCACGTTCTCCTCCCATGTCCGGTCTCCGGTTACTTGTGGGGGCCACCCCCTGCCTTGCTCGCACAGTCCTCCAGGGCTCTATGGTCCTGCTCTTAGAGTCATTCTGCAACATATTGGTCATTACTAAGGAAAAAAGTGTTATCTGACAGTTGTCAATAATGTTAAGTTTTGGGTTGTTGTTTTTGTGTCTGTTGGTTTGGATTTTTGCTTTGTTTTTTTTTTTTGGTTGGTTGGTTGGTTAGTGTGTGGTTTTTTTTGTCTTTTTTCCCCAGATACCTGCTGGAATATAACAAGTAAATAATTTGGAAAATTACATACATGAATTTCATGCCAGTATCATGTAGTTTGCCATTCAAGCTTTGTAGTGTTAAGTGTAATGTAATTAAATACCAACGGTAGTTTTACCCTACTGATGATGTGTTGTTGCAATAGTAATCCTGCTCAGTACAAGAGGAACCACAGGTTCAGAACCCTGGTGCATGCGCTTGGCTGAGGAGCCACTGGCGTGACGCTACCATCTGCAGGCTTATGACTGAACACCTCTAAGAATCCCACCTAGATTCTTGATGTTGTGCTATTGCATCATTGGTCTCTTGTGATTGACCCAGGAGATGACAGTCTTGTTCAGATTGCATGGCTAAAGGTCTTCCTGGATCTTTGTTAGCGAAGACAAGCCTTCCTCATAGGAGAAGGAAAACTCCTGTCTTCAAACCTGGGCAGAAGGAGCTCGTCTAGCCTTGTATGGTCTTCCATCATAGAGAAGGACACTCTTACAAAACCTATGACCTGTGGACTTTACTGTCACCATCCTAGCTAGCTAAGCCATGGCAGTTAAACCACAGGTGTTAAACCAAGCTGTGCCTCACCTAAAAAATCCACTGCACAGGCTGGATGAGCTTACT